TGGTGTCTGATGTTGGGATATGGTTCATACTCCCTATAGACTGAAATGCACGAGGGTTTTGCTCCTTAGTGAGTGGGTGGAGGTTCGAGGGCCTTGCGACGATGTCAGAAGGTTTTTATAGTTTTAGCCCATATTTTATTAATAGTTTGGGCGTGGTAGTGCTTCGATCTCGCACTCGCAATTGAGTGACCACCGGATCATATGAGTGCGCGCTTTTTTGAGAGCGACCGCTGGAGAACGTGCAAGTTCAGCGATTTGAACCAAGGCCTCTCAGCTTGCCATCAATTTCTTGATTTTTTTTTATCTGGGATAGACAATCTCCTTGTAATCCTGCTGTGTTAGAGAGAGAGAGGAGAGAGAGTGTGTGTGTTTAAACAAGGACTTGAGATGTGGAAACTGCATGTGCACCATTAATGGAGAAGTATAAGGCTGCGCATGACAACTTGCCAAACAGTGTTTGATTCTGTTCTTTTGTTCCCAGAATCAGTTTGGGAACAGAAATGTGTTTGTTTAATTTTTTGATTTTGGGCACAATTTTGTCAAAAATTGTTCTCAGAATCAGTTTTCAAGAATAAAAAAAAAGCGGCTTCTTGATTCTGGGAATAATTTTGAGAATCAATTTTTTTTTCTTCTTCCTTTTCTTGGTTTTTAATGTAGCTTCTATTGTCTGGCCCGAGGACCGCCCTCGCCGGATCTAACGAGAATAAAATATTTTAATAAAAAATATTTTACCTGCTATGGCTGGCGACCAGGCCATGGCCAAAAAAAAGAAAAATATATATTTTTAATAAAAAATATTATTAATAAAAAAAATATTTTACCTACCATGGCCGGTGACCAGGCCATGGCAAAAAAAGAAAAAAAATATATTTTTAATAAAAATAATTTAATAAAAAATATTATTATTAAAAAAAATATTTTACCGGCCATGGCCAAAAACAAATAAAAATGTATATTTTTAATAAAAATATTTTAATAAAAAATATTATTAATAAAAAAAATATTTTACAGGCCATGGCCAAAAAAAAGAAAAATATATATTTTTAATAAAAATATTTTAATAAAAAAATATTTTACCAGCCATGGCCGACGACCAGGCCATGGCAAAAAAAAATAAAAATATATATTTTTAATAAAAAAATTATTAATAAAAAAAATATTTTACCGGCCATGACCGGCGACCAGGCCATGGCCCAAAAAAAATAAAAATGTATATTTTTAATAAAAAAATTTATTAATAAAAAAATATTTTACCGGCTATGGCCGGCAACCAGGCCATGGCCAAAAAAAATAAAAATATATATTTTTACTAAAAAATATTATTAATAAAAAAATATTTTACGATCATGGCGGCGACTGTGCCATGGCCAAAAAAAAAGAAAAATACTTTTAATAAAAATATTATTAATAAAAAAATATTTTAGGTCATGGCGCGACGAGAGGGCCATGGCCAAGAAGGAGGAAAAGAAAAAAAGAAAAGAAAAAAAAGAAAGAAATATTAAAATATTTAAAAATATTATTAATAAAAAGAAATTTTGTGACGTTACCAAACGCATTTACGTTCTTTTTCTATTCCAGGGATGGAATTTTGGGCCGTTAACAAACGCCTTAAAATGCTCGAGAATCAATTAGGCACGAGAATAAAAAAGAATCATTTCTGAGCAGAATCTGTTCCCGGACACAGAATCATTGTCATGCGCAGCCTAAGTGACATTGAAGTGTAAAATGGGCCCCCATTTTTCCATCAATGGAAAGGATCGGATCTTTGCCTTGAAGTTGTAACCCGACCCATTTGTCACACGGGCCGGGTCCTCCCAACCCTTTTTTTTTCAGTGGCCATCGACCACGGATAAGTAGCCCAATGACTACTAATCCAATCGCCGTTGGGCTATACCATTCATGAGTCCAGATTGTGCCCAAGAAATTTTTAGAAAAGAAGGCCCGGTAAGAAATGGACCGGGCTGGCCAGTCTCGGCCCACTAAGAAAATGGGCTGAGCAGGCCTGTCATGGCCCATTAAGAATATAGGCCGAGTCGGCCCGACCCATTTGAAATCCCCAAGTAAAGTGGCAATAAGTATGTACACTCCAAGAGTTATCTATGCGCTTGGTAGTCCGGATAGGATAAAAAATATTATATCTGGTGTTTGGTGACGTCCTCTGAACTGGATATACTTGGATAAAATACCGGATAAAAAATTCAGGCTTTGGGGTCGAATAAACCCGGATTGGATAATTTTTTGTCAAAAAATAATTTAACAATCTTCCTCCAACGACAGAGGAATGGAGTAATGCATTTGGCTTCGCTGGCCACCGCACGAGAGCCACCTCCACGACAGCTGATCATCACCACTTTTGACCATATGCAATCGTTTTTGCCTCCGTCGAGCTGATCATGCTCCGACGACTAAGGGAGAAAAGGAGAATTTATACGTCATATGGCCATCATTATCGAAGAACTCGAATCCTTGCATGATCAGTACGGTCGAAGGATCTCGTTGTCCACAACAGAGGCGTGTCCGCCTTCATTACTCGTTGCCCCAGTGCCATCCACCGTTGGATCTTTGTCCACCTCCTTTGCGCCTCTGACTACCCCAGATCATTGGCTTCAATGTCAAATGGCACTTGAGCTTTGTGCACTACGTCCAACACCGGCTCATCTTTGGCTTTGATACAGTGAAGCTCATTGAGGAATAGGGTCCGAAGGTGGAGATGGCGTTGGATCTGGCGAAAATGAAAGAGACGAATCGAAGGGAGCTAGAGAGAACGGCTTTGAGATGCGAGTGAGGGAACTCAAGTGGTGAGATTTGGATATCACGGGAGATAGTACCGGGCAAGTGAGATTTTCATTGATTTTTATTCTATCTTGGATTACACCAAATATGAATGAGGTTTTCTACAATCTGGAGAATATTTGGAGGAATTCTAATCCGATCTTATCCTATTCTATCTCAATTCAAATCTGGATGACCAAACGTAGCCTAAGAGAATAAGCCGTTGATTGCAATATGACAATGACAAATTTCGTTTTCGATTCGTAATTTCTCCCCTTCATAATAACGTAGAGAGATGCATTCGTCGCTTATGGATTCAATGTTATATGAAGAATTCTACTACTTTTATTCTCGTAGATTCACGCTCTATATTGCCTAAATTTTATCCACGTCGTCTTCCAATGTTGCCTCTATTGGTTGAATTATGCCACACGTCCACGTGGGCATCTTCATTGGCGTTGGTCAGCGTCCATGTCGATTGAATTTTGGTTTGATTTGGTGTTGAAGAGACTATAGCCCGTTTGGTTCGACTTTAAGAGAATGCCTTTGGGGAATGCAAATATCTTGGGCTAAATGGATTTTTCGAAATGCAAATAGTATTTGGTAAGTGTTTTTTAAAATCACATTTGAAAGTAAGTTTGGCCTAAACACCGTTTGGTAAAAACTATATTTTGTAAAGGACTTTTGCTAATATTTTTTTTTTAAAAAAAAGTCTGGTGGAGCTCAATCACTGGCCACTGCCGCCGGCCAGATCTAGTCGCCGGCCACCGCCGCCTAACCTTAGGCGAGGTGGCCTGAGGTCGTGTGACCTCAAGCGTCGCCTGGGTCACGTAACCCTGGCAACGCCTAAGGTTGGGCAACCACCGCCTGGGGTCACGTGACCACAGGCGACGGTCGCCGAGGTCTCGCGACCCCCAGGTGGTGGTCGACGGGGTTGGGCTAGCTCTCAAGCGGTAGTCGCCAGCCGCCGGACCAGTGCGCGATGAACAGTACAAGTTGCATTCCAAAAATGCAACTTTCCAAGGCATCTCCAACCTTGCATTGACCAAAAGTTCCTTGGAGAGCATTGAAAATGCAATTGCATCTCCCCAAAGTGAGTAAAAAAAGTTGTCAAACACCATTTGCATTTTGCCAATGGACTTTAGAGCCCAAATGAGCATTCTAAATGCTGAACCAAACGAGGCCTATATAAAATAATTTGCAGTTATAGAAAAACTTGATTAGACAAATTGAAGACTTAATGAAAGAAACTGTAAAAGTTCATTTACAAAAATTATAAAATTTTCAATATTATAGATCCAAATGATGTTACTATTGATGTACTCTCAAGTTAAAATTTCCAAGAACATTTGCATCTTCCATCTCCTAACTTTTGGTAGGAGTAATTTCACTTACATTTTTTTTACTCTTAAGTGCATTGAAAATTTTAAAAATTATTGTGAAAGTGCAATTGAGTCCAGAAATTTATAAAAATGTAATCAAGTTTTAAAACTTGTCAAATTGATGCAATAAAATCCTTCTATTAATTTCATTATTTGGCTAATAGAAAATATTGATGTGGCTTTTTTTTATTATTTTCTTTCTCCTACATGGCATTAACATGGCTAAAACATGAAAGACAAGACTAAACGACGTCATTGTGGACTAAATATGAATTTTTAATCTTAATATTATTTAAATTAGACTACAAAACAAATTGAATAAAAAAAAAAAAGGAGAAGAAGGCAAAATGGTGAGGCCTGCAACTGCCACCCCACCATTGCTAGAAAGGGTCGGCGATGGTGCGGGATGGCCGAGACAATTGTCGGCGACCACTGGCGGCCCTCGCCTGCAGTTGGCAAGGTTCGTCAACTTTCCCACCATCGACAGCCTTTCTAGCGATGCTAGGCGGCGGCGAAGGCACTGCAAGCCCGCCTTTCCTTTTTTTTTTAATTTAATTTAAATAAAATTTGTGTATCAAAATGCCTCGTTTTAATCTTATATTTCATGTTTTGCCGATGCCATCGCCACGTGGGAGAAAAAAATATTAAAAATAAAAATAACATCAGTATTTTTTGGGATAAGTCTTCGGATTTAGTTACTATCTTGTTCAACTCTGGTTATTCGATTTATATGTTTCTAACTTTCAAAACGCTTCACAGCATTCATTTCCTAGCTATAAGCATATATGCTTCCCATCGTTCCCCGCGAACTCGAAGACAGGTGAAGAAGACGACGCGACGCGACGCAACGCAACCTCTCTCTCTCTCTCTCGCTCTCTCGCTCTCTCGTTGCAGCTTCCGACGCCATGGACGAAGACCAGAAGTCCATCCTCCTCAAGGCCTCCGCCCGCTTCCCCATCCCTCCAGGTCCCCCATTCCTCTCTGTCTCTCCCCGCGCTCTTCTTCCCCCCCTTCCGTTCGAATCCGCCGGCTGACTCTGATTCCTTTTGGGCTCCGCAGGCGCGAAGTTCTCGTACGGCACCGCCGGGTTCAGGGCCGACGCGCTGGTCCTCGAGTCGACGGTCTACCGGGCCGGCATCCTGGCCGCCCTGAGGTCGCTCCAGACCCGGTCCGTGACCGGCCTCGTGATCACCGCCTCCCACAACAAGATCTCCGACAACGGCGTCAAGATCGCCGATCCGAGCGGCGGCATGCTCACGCAGGCTTGGGAGCCGTTCGCCGACGCTCTCGCGAACGCCGCCGACTCCAATCATCTCCTCCAGGTCTCTCTCCCTCCATCTCTCTCTCTCTCTCTCTCTCTCTCTCTCTCTCTCTCTCTCTCTCTCTCTCTCTCTCTCTCTCTCTCTCTCTCTCTCTCTCGCGCGCGCTTGCGCTTGTGATGTGTGTACGTTTCGTGATTCCTGCGTATTTATCGAAAGGATTTTAGCGAGGGGATGAAGAGAAATGCAATCGAGATAAGAAGTTGAGTGATTGAAAAGATAGCTCTTCAGGTCGTTTTGCATCGAGAGAAGTTCTTCGCTTATTTGCTGCGTGTTCTGTTTGTAAACAGCTGATAATCGAATTTGCAAAGAAGGAGGGCATCTTGATTGATGGACATTGCAGAGCTGAGGTTTTGTTGGGAAGAGATACGAGGCCTAGTGGAGAATCTCTTCTTGAAGCTGCTAAACAGGTAAAGTATTGCTATCAAAAATCATATTTTACTCGTTAACTCTGCACAAATGTTATTCGGAACCCCACATACTCTTGCTTTTCTTGGCCTGTAATTGTAGACTCGACTTTATGTTTTTTTTTTAATTACTTCCAGGGAATTAATTCCATTGTCGGATCAGCTGCCGTTGACATGGGTATCCTTACAACACCGCAATTGCATTGGATGGTTCGTGCTAGGAATAAGGGCTTGAAAGCCTCTGAACGGGATTATTTTGTGCAGCTCTCGAGCTCTTTCAGGTATGTTTGAATACGAGCTTCCTCTACCGCGAAATTGCAGTAATGCAACACTAGTTGGCCTTTCTCATGATCATTGCGGTGGCTCAGGTGGTTGATGAATTTGGTCCCTGGTGAACGCAAGGTTACTGGGACAGACAATAAACTGGTTGTGGACGGTGCAAATGGGGTGGGTGGAGAAAAACTTGAATGTTTAATGAATAGGTTGGATGGTTTAGTTATTGAGGTTCGTAATACTGGGAAAGGGGGAGGTATTTTAAATGAAGGAGTTGGTGCGGACTATGTGCAGAAGGAGAAGGTTGTACCTCAAGAATTTGGATCGAATGATATTGGAATGAGGTAAGCCATCGTTGCTTGCTGCCTACTAATAGTCTATGACTTTATCAATATGCTCTGTCCTTCATATTTACAAGCCAATGATCAATATCCTTTTGAAAAGATTGCAAGTACAGTAACTTGTCTACAGCTCACAGGATAAAAGGCAATGCAGTTAGACTGCATCATGTGGTGACAATAACACTCAAGATCTGTATGAATAATTGGTCTCTACTCAGTTATTGTGAACTGTGAATTGTATGCATTATCACTAAAATTATCTTTTGTCTCGATGAATGAAAAATTGGTTGGCATTGTTTTAGTGAAGGAAAATTGCTTGAAAGTTCGGTCATATTCAGTCCATTTATCTTGAGTTTGAAAAAATTCGTGTAACAATTTGACTTCAATCTGTCCCGGTGGGACGGTGAAGGAAAACTTAGAGATGTATGTGGCTCTGCTCCTATAGGGGAACATGGGTGCTTTATCATATAATTTAGGGTCGGTAATTTTGATTGGATAGTGCAACTCTGTTTCTGTAGGCCAGACATGACTATCTAACAATTCACATCTTTCATTTGCTGAAGATTGAACTTTCTTTCGGAAGCAGCTTTTATTTTGGTTTTGCTTGCTGCATTTTGAAGAGAGCCCTATCGAGAAGATCTTTGTATAAATGCACTCCTTGTATGCATTGTCAAAGTTGCTGTGTAGAAGTTTTATTTTTTGTTACTAATTCTTTGATCCAGTAGACTTTTGGCAACAGCTTTATCTTTCTTTGTTTTAGCCATGGCAACAGCTTTATGGGTTGGTTAATCTTAAAGCAGGATTTTCTGACCTGGAGTTAATCTCTTTATACAGTGAAACTGTCTGTCTATTTTACTGGTTGATAGTATATGATCGACGGCAGCACGTCCATGTAATGCCAAATTACTGCTATCCTTACAGTGTTACTTTTTTTCCCCTCATGAAATAAGTTCAATCCTGCATGAAAATCATGAATATGTTCAACATCCATTCTGATGGTTTAGCCTGACTTTTTGATAATTTGATGAAAAGCTTGACCTATTGATTGAATTGGCACTGAATGCTTAAATATGTGTAGTCTTTCAGGTGCGCTAGTTTGGATGGAGATGCTGATCGTCTCGTGTATTTCATAGTGCCATCTGTGAGCAGCCACAACATCGTGCTTGTAGATGGGGACAAAATATTATCCTTGTTTGCATTATTTATCAAAGAGCAGCTAGGCATACTCTACAAGGGGGTGGATGAAAACAATGCTTATAAGGCTCGTCTTGGAGTTGTACAGACAGCTTATGCCAATGGCGCATCAACAGACTTTCTGAAGGAGTTGGGTCTAGAGGTTGTGTTAACCCCGACGGGCGTTAAGTTTTTACATGAGAAGGCTGCGGAATGTGATATTGGCATCTACTTTGAGGCAAATGGACATGGCACCATTTTGTTCTCAGATAGCTTTCTCAGTTGGTTGGAGAAGAGACACAATGAGCTTTCTTCAATGTCTGAAGGTATTTGTTACGCAGCATCCATTTTTTGGCAGTAATGGTGCCATATTGTCATTAAAACTCAGCTGAAGTTGTATTTTTCAGGTTCAGAGCAGCAAAAAGCTGCTATGAGGCTGCTTGCAGCCAGTAAGCTTGTCAATCAAGCAGTAGGAGATGCTTTCAGTGGGCTGCTGCTAGCTGAAGCCATCTTGCAAAATCTCAGCTGGTCAATCAACCGATGGAATGAACTCTATCAGGATCTACCTAGTAGACAGCTCAAGGTTGGTTTCTCTGATCAAATTTTGTGTAATGTTTGGCAGTTGGCACCTTTATGTTTTCCTCTCTCACTTTTCACAACTCATCAGATAATCGATGTCATGGCACTCTTGAGATAAATTCAAATGGGTGAATGTTCTTTCCTTATTTCCTTTTTCTAGCACTTCATTCCTGTTACAGGGATCATACTATTTCGTTGCAGTTGATGCCTTCATGGTAACTTAGGAAGTGCTTTTCCGTTTTGACTTATGGGAATTAAGAGAAACACTTGTACAAATGTTTGCTTCTCCGTTTTCCTTAGGAGGTAAAAATGGTATATAAAATCTCAGTTTGAAATCTGTTCTTTTATTGATTTTATTAATCAGTTAGAAGAATTGATCGTATCTTTTGGTTTAAAATCTATCCTCATTTTGATACCATAACATAATTTGATGTTCATCTCATGCTAACTTTGTATTAGGCTACTGATTCCTTCCTCTCTCTCTTCCCCCCTATGTGTGTGCATCAGGTAAAAGTTATGGATAGAACTGCGGTTGTCACAGCAAATGCAGAAACAGTAGTCGTGAAGCCCTCTGGCATTCAAGAAGCCATCAATGCTGAAACTGGTACAGTAAAACGGTTTTTGTTTTCGCTTGGCATGCTAGTGTTATTGGTTCCAGTGAATGGTTTTCACTTGTATTTTGGGCTTTATATTTGACAGGTTTGGTTTTTAAATAAAATGAAACACACGCTTGCACTCGCAAATGCACCTATGTTACGCCTGCCAAAAAGATAGGCAAAGAATGCAGAAAGTGTTGCTTTTCTGTCTGAACTGAGGAATGCGACCGTTACAAATTTTCATGCATCTGCACTTGTTGTGTTTGTTTGATGTTCTAAGAAATATGTTTATGTGAATTAGGCATTTGAACCCTGAATTCTGGAACCAACTCTTTTGCTTGCCTCTTTCCTTCTCTGGGATTCTTCGATCACTTTATATTGGGCTAATGACGAGTTTCTTTTTCCCTTGTGCTTTGATGCAGTTAAATACCCTCGTGGCCGATCTTTCATACGCCCGTCAGGCACCGAGGATGTTATCCGAGTTTATGCGGAGGCCTCTACTCAGGAAGGAGCAGATAGTTTAGCTCATTCTGTAGCAAAGCTTGTGGAGCAGTTCCTCGGATAGCATCTTTGTAACAAATTTTCCTCCCCTCGAGAGAAATGACAAGTCTCTTTCCGAGATTAGAATGATCAGTTCATCGTGTCGACTGAAAATTGAATCACTAGTTCATGGCTGTACGATCATTCATGGGGAATTTTGTTATTGCTGATCGAAGCTTTCTTTAACCCTCCGCTTGGATTCGATGAACGCCGTTTCTTTTCTTTATAACCAAAGGGGATTTTTTCTGGAAGCATTTTTCTATGTGCAGATATGCGAGAAAAACGTGTTTTAAGTCGGGTTGTCCGATGATCAAACAATGTTTAACCAAGCTATCCGCGGAATGGCATGTGGTTTAAATGTGTTTTAACGTAGCAGGTTCTGCATTTCCATGTTCAGAGAGCAATTAGGCTATGTTTGCACCAAAAATTAACCATGGCCTAGGCACGTTGACCAAATGGCAGTCAATATTGATATGCGTTGATGACCATGGACCAATTGTTAATACATGATAGCGTTTGGTTGCTGATTACCAAGACAGAGTTGGTTGATACATGGTAGCATATGCTTGCCGATTAATATGATAGAGTTAGTTGACAAGGATACCGATTAAAAGGGATCGACAGCTTATCGATTGAGTAACCAGGTGAAAACTAAATGTTTGAAGGGCGCTCGACTCAGTTATAAGATAGGGAAATGAAGTCCAAAAAATTGGGGAGGAAGGCTAAAGTTAATCTGAAGAATAAATTTCTCGACCTTGTCGGTTTCCTGGATCCGTCAAAGAGCCCTTAGGAGGTGACTAAGGAGGTGACCAGGTGTAATTGCGACAATGACCACAAGCCAATGTGTAGGACCGGATGGCCGACTTGCATCAACCTTCGACGTGGGTTCAAGAGATATAAGGAAAAAGTATCAAAAAAATTTATAAACCTATTATAATTATGCCAATTCAGTCCTAATTTTTCAATTATACAAATTGAGTCCTAAAAATGAGCTCTATTATAAATTATGTGCCTATGACTGCATCTAATTTCGCATCATTTGCCTTAAAATATAAAGTGAATGCATCAAACCGAGTACGCCAACTCTGTATCTGAATTTAAAAACTCATATCGCTAGTCAACTTGGACAAATCATCGACATTTTTAGCCCCAAAAGCAAAGAGAATATCCTCGGCATTTCGGACAATTCTGTATAGAATATGATCACGCGAGCTGACTTTTACTGGGAAGAAAGAAAAAAAAAAACACAACTACCCAAGACTACTTGTCGTTTCAGAATCAACGAGGCGTGCTTCACATGCTTTCTTTTTCTACGATGATGGAGCATGTCGGTGGATAAAAGGTGTGGTTCTTTTTTTTTGCCAAAAGATAAAAAGTGTGGTTCGCCTATGGATTAGGCCCGACCTTTTTACATGACACAAGGTAAAACACGAAAGAGGAATTCGAACGCGAGACTACACAACACGCCGAGCTTGAATATCCAAACGAACAAGCACCCCTTTTTTTAATCTTAAATCAATCATTTGGTTTGTTTAATAAAGTCTGTGATGCTTTGATACTAGACAACTTTAGGACAAAATCGCAAACATGACTTTGATACATGAATCACAAACTGGAAATGAAAGTGAGAGATCAACCTAAGATGGACAAGTTTTGGTGGAGAGAGGACAAAATTCGTGGCTGCCAGTTTGCCCCGAAAGTCCGGGAAGACCAAGAAGAACTAGGGGGAGAAAGCCAAGTCAAGTTGGCATTGAGCGGAAAGGAGAGAAAGTAGCTTTGGCAAGTTATATTAAGCAGCATACAAAGAAAGAAGAAAAGAAAGCAAAGGACCAATTCTTTTGTCACAACCATTTGCACCCACAAAAAATAAGAACATATTTTGAAGCCCCTACAATTGTGAACCTTTCCCCTCTCCCTCATTCAATTTTACATTAATTGGGGGAAAATAACATGGCCAATAATAGATGGATGATGACATAAATGGTTCATGAACTTCAGCTCAATATGAAATGCGATTCATAAATTTTTAATTTGTATAATGTCATCCTTGAATTTTAGTCCAATTCGCAATACCGTCCCTAAATTTTTAATTTATTCAACGCAATTCCTAAACTTTTGATATATATTCAAACTAGTCCCTAGATTATATGAAAATATTCAATGTTGTCCCTGAACTTAAATTAATGGAATGACAATATTGAATATTTTCGTATAGTTTAGGGGTTAATCTGAACATATACCAAAAGTTCAGGAACAAAATTAAGTAATTAAAAATTCAAGGATCACACCGCATATTAGGCTGAAATTCAAAGACCACATTAAACAAATTAAAAATTTAGGAACCACACTGCATATTGAGACAAAGTTCATGAATCATTTATGATATATTCCCATAATGGATATGACATAAGGAAGACTAAATTTCGAGTGCTTTATGGGTTTCCAAGTAACTAGATCTTCGTGTATGTGACTTTGAATTATAAAAATATATATATATAGTCTAAGGAGATTGACAAATCACCTTAGGTCATGTTTAGTTGCCAAGGGAAGAATTGAGACACGATAGGATGAGAAGATATGGCAAAGAGATAACACGCAAGTGATTAGAAGAAACACGACCAAGCCAGGTCCTCACGGTTGCCTCAGGGCGCGACCATTGTTGGGTGGTTATCGGAGCAAGGCAACCACCGCATGATGGTCTGGATGTGGCCATCATATGGTAATCAAAAGCGCCGCCAGCTGAGCAGGCGAACTGATTCAAACGAGCCAATCCCTCCCATTCTGCTTTTCTTTTATCGTGTTCAATCCGGGTAGGATAAACTTCATCCGACTCTTAGGGTTAGGATAACTTATCCTTCTCATCTTGATGTATCCGGGTTTATTCATATCGAGGCGTGCTGCCAAATATCAGATAGGATAATATCTAATTCTACTCGGCTTTCTACCGCACCGAATAGATAAATTCGATCTCCGACGAGAAATTGGTCTTGACCATCACCATATGTAACTGTTCAACTCCAAATTTTCAATAAGTTTTGCAACCTTCCGTCCTCCAATTGAGTAACACTTGGTTTTCATGGCCAAATTCCACAAATTTCCTGAAGCCCACGGGGGGACAGTGAAATTACGACAAGAGTTCAGGGAAGCCCTCGACAGTTGGCAACATGCACAACTAAAACCGGTAAGCCGACACGAGAGAGAGAGAGAGAGAGAGAGAGAGAAAATTATTCTTTTATTATTAAAATGAAAATTTAAAAAAGCACCTCTCGCGTTCGCTTTTTATTTGATTCTGTGGTAGAGATTCCGTGCTCGTTTTCCTCTCTCCCGCCCATATATATCGCCACCACCTTCCTTCCTCCCTCCCTCCCTCCCTCCCTCTCCATCTCTGCAAGCAACCGCGATCGCGGAGAGTTTTCCTCGACCCGATCTCGGTGGGGGGCGCGCGAGCGGAGCACCAAGAATGACGGCCGGAGATTCGTCGTCGGACAGGTGAGGTCGCTTCGCCCCGGTTCGAGCGCTCTTTCATTTTCGTCGGTCTGTCGCCGCGGCGGGCATGAATGTCTTCGGTGGATGTCCCCGTTCGGTTTGTTCGGGCAGTTTGGATCGCGCGCGCGCGGGGCGAAATGTCGAGCGTATACCCGTAGTATTCCGTTGTGATCCTGCTTGTTCATGCACGCTCTTGATTCTCCCCGAATGTCGGATTCCATGTGTTGAACTTGAAATGATGCGAAACTCGTTCGCCTGTTAGTCGCGGAGATTCCATCAGCCTATCCGTTGTCGCGTGTCGATTTAACGTTGTCGCGCTTGTCGTTCTTCGTTCGAGTTTTCTCTCAAGTCGGAGCTTGCGTGTTTCGTACATTCGTGTTGAACAAAATGAAATTGGCGGATCGCTGGCGGAAGCGATAATGTTCATGGGTTTGAGTCTCCCGCTTAGATGCGCGATCCGCAGTCTCTTCTGATTAATTGCATAGGTTTCTTTGGCATGTATTCGACGGACTATCTCTTCCTTTTTTTTCTTTTTTGTTGCTCGTCGCCTTCTCAGTAATCTTCCTGTCATCAGCACATCTTCGATAAATCTTCCTGAATTAGTGTTGTAAATTTTCTGGTCGGCAATCTTTTCGCGTTCCTTTCTATGACGAATCGAAGGAGCTATGCGGGTAGTCTGGATGATGAATGCTAACTTGAAACTTGGTTATCTAGCTAGAATTGACAGAGTTGATGGCAGAGTTAGACAGGCATTGATGCTGCAGAGTTACTACTAGATGTTGTGTCTTCATACTATATAATAGATCTCTACATTTCCCACCATGTCTTTGTAAGTTTGGTTCCGTTTCGACAGCATCGCTTCTCTCGTTGGGCTTGCGCCGCTTGAGGCCGTTCTGTTTGATATTGATGGAACTCTGTGCGACTCGGATCCTCTCCACTACTATGCCTTCAGAGAGATGCTCCAAGAGGTGAAGGTTTCCATCCTTATATTACAATCATTCTGTTGTGCATCTGGTGACAGCGAATCACGGGCATCTCTCGATTGCAGAGCTTTCGGTATCCATTATTTGATTGTTTTGTGCGTTCTTTCCGAAACAGATAGGTTTCAATGATGGAGTTCCGATCACGGAGGATTTCTTTGCTGAGCATATTTCTGGAAAGCATAACGAAGATATAGCTGAGTTCCTCTTCCCGGATGATACCCCTCGAGGCCAAAAATTCATGGAGGACAAGGAAGACATGTTCCGCAAGTGAGTCTTCCATCACATCATGCTCCTTTCCTGTGAACTCTTTTCTTCTAAAGTTTTTGACATCAAGCTCTATGGATGACACAGATTGGCCTCGGAACAACTAACGCCCGTGAGCGGCCTGTACAAATTGAAGAAGTGGATCGAAGATCACGGCCTAAAACGAGCTGCAGTTACAAATGCTCCTAGGCCAAATGCCGAACTCATGATCTCAAGTCTCGGACTCACGGATTTCTTTGAAGCTGTTATTGTAGGAAGTGAGTGTGAGCATGCCAAACCACACCCGGAACCTTACCTGAAGGCCCTTGATGTGCTGAAGGTGTCGAAGGAGCATACTCTAATTTTCGAGGTCTGTGTCCGACCTTCATTTTTTCGTGAAATCCAACGGGATAGTTCACCGTCCTGAATTGCAGCTTGTGTTTTGAATCTCTAGGATTCAGTTGCGGGCATAACAGCAGGGGTGGCAGCTGGAGTGGCCACCATCGGCATAATGACGAGGAACACAGAACATCAACTGATGGAAGCGAAGCCAACATTCCTCATCGAGAGCTACGACGATCTGAAGCTGTGGGCCGCTTTAGAAGCGCTCGAGGAGAAGGGTGCTTGAAAATTTCTTCGACGACCCAGGAGGTAGGTAGAGGAACTGCCCATCAACTGCCATTAGCCATTCCGATTCGATGGCGCGAAACTGCAAGTTGAATTTCGGGATCGCATATTGTTTGCCAGAATCTGTTCTGATTCTGAGAGATGTGTCATATCACTTTGCTTACAGTCATAGATTACTGAAAGTTCAAGTGGAAACAAAAGAAACGATGCTATTTTCACAACCTCGATCGGTTCTTCCACTCTCATGTACTAATAAGAATTTCCTCTGATATGAATTTGTTCCTTTCACATTATCACTGTCCTACAGAAAGTTGGGTCTCATTGTTCTTTCCTTTCTGTTTACTTCTAGTGGTCTCTTGTGATGAGAAACGCGTGAAACACATCGATGATGATACAGGATGATGTACGACACATTGCAAAAGAATATACACACGCAAGCTGTCGTGAAAAACCTAGTATCTTGTTCCATTTTTGCTCCTGAAAAGAAGTCGATGCTCTTCTTAGTAAGCACGAATTCGTGCTCTCTTTCTAATGAATCGCCCAACAGTTCATGGATTGAACTGATGCGACTTTCCATTTGCCGGATTCTCGGCCTTCCCAGTTTCCCCGGATCTGCAGTAGACACCAAGGTGTTGTAACGGCGGCGATGACCGCAAGCCGATGTGTGAGGGCCGGATGGCCGGCTTGCATCCATCGACATGGGTGTATTGGAATGAAAAAGTGTACACTTTGAGGGTCCTGTCCAAATTCTTTCGTGTGATGCCGTATGAAAGATGAGCTCCATTATACCTTACCCAAAAAAAAAAAGATGAGCTCCATTATAGATTATGTACTTCTAATCATGTCTAATCTCGCATCCTAATGCCTGAAATTTCAAGGAAAATGCATCAAACCGAGCATGCTAACTCTGTATCAAAATAGAAAATACTCACATCCGTGGGATAACTCATACAACTCCAATTCTCAAGAAGGTTTTTGCAATCTCGTCCTTCAATTGAATAACATTTAATTTTCGCGGCCGAATTCACAAAATTCGGAAAGCCCGTGGGAGGAAATTGAAAATACGACAAAATTCAGGGATGCTCCCGACAGTTGGCAACGTGCACACAACTAAAGAAGAAAAAAATAAATAATTACGTAATTATTTCTATTAAATAACGAAAATTAAAAATTAGAAAAAAAAAAGCGCCGCTCGCTTGCGCTCTTTTATTTTTGATTCCGCGCTCGGTCTTCCCCTCTCTCGCTAGCGCCACCACCACCTTCCTTCCTTCCTTCCTTCCCATCGCTCGCCGTCGCCGCCGCCGCCGCGGAGAGCTGCTCCCTCGATCCGATCTCGGCGGGGCGCGGAGCACCAGGATGACGGTTTCATCCGCCGGAGACTCGTCGGAGAGGTAAGCTCGCTTCCGATTTGAGCCGCATCGGTGTCGCCGGATGTCCGCCGGTGGGCGTTTTCTTCGATTCGTCCGGGGCAGTTCGGATCGTGTACGGTGCAGAGTCGAACGCTGCGTCCGTTGTCCCGGTCGTAATCCTGCTTGTTCTGTGTGCGGATCGTGCGCGTCCCGTGCTTCTCCGCGAATGTCGGAGTCCGGATTCGGCATTTGGAGTCGTGCGTCGAAATTTGAAATCGTGTATCCGTTGTTCTGGTCGTAATCCTGCTTGTTTTGTGTGCGGATCGCGCGCGTTCGTGTTTCTCCGCGAATGTCGGAGTCCGGATTCGGCATTTGGAGTCGTGCGTCGAGTTTGAAGTGTTCGACCTCGTTCGCCTATTTTCCTGGAGATTCCATTGTTCCATCCGTTCTAGCATCGTTGACTTAGCATCGTTGACTTAACTCCGTCGCAGTGTCGTTCTTTCTTCGAAATTCTCTCGTGTGGGAGCCGGCATGTTTCGTTGTATTTTAATCTCGACCTTAATGAAATTGACGGATCACTCGTGTCGCTTGCTCTTGGCATCGATAATGTTCATAGCATCATTCACAGTCTCTTCTGATTAATTGCATGTATTTCTTTGGCATGTGATCGACAGACTACTCTTCCTGTTTTGCTTTATGCCTGCTCGTTGGTCTTCCTTTGGTCATTCACAGATGGAAGTGTTCAATAGATAGTAGAAAGTAGCACTGTAATCGGATGGACTGAGAAATTTGTTGATAGTTGCGGTCCAGATTCGAAGGATAATTTGGGGATGCGTTCAATTTATGATTACAGAAGCAATTCATTGTTTTTTGTTGCATCGCTCAGCACATCTTCGATAAATCTTCCTGAATTAGTGTTTTTTAATTTTCTGGTTGCCAATCTTTTTGCGTTCCTTTCTATGACGAATCGAAGGAGGATCGACAGACTACTCTTCCTGTTTTGCTTTTGGCCTGCTCGTTGGTCTTCCTTTGGTCATTCACAGATGGAAGTGTTCAATAGATAGTAGAAAGTAGCACTGTAATCGGATGGACTGAGAAATTTGTTGATAGTTGCGGTCCAGATTCGAAGGATAATTTGTGGATGCGTTCAATTTATGATTACAGAAGCAATTCATTGTTTTTTGTTGCATCGCTCAGCACATCTTCGATAAATCTTCCTGAATTAGTGTTTTTTAATTTTCTGGTTGCCAATCTTTTTGCGTTCCTTTCTATGACGAATCGAAGGAGCTATGTGGGTAGCCTGGATAATTACTGCTAACCTGAATATTGGTTATTTAGCTACAATTGATAGAGTTGATGGCAGAGTTAGAGAGACATTGATGCTACAGAATTACTAGATGTTGTGTCTTCATAGATATAATGGATCTTTACATTTCCCACCATGTCTTTGTAAGTTGGTTCTATTTTGACAGCATTGCTTCTCTTGTTGGACTTGCACCACTTGAGGCCGTTCTGTTTGATGTTGATGGAACTCTATGCGACTCGGATCCTCTCCACTACCATGCATTCAGAGTGATGCTCCAAGAGGTGGAGTTTTCGTCCTTATTTACAATCAATTTGTTGTGCCTTATTCAAGGAATTATTTCATCCTTTAAGTTGGAGTTCGTTTTTCTTTTCATCGAATCTAGGGACCGTGAATCATGAGTATCTCTTGATTGCAGATGCATGACTACATGCTTTTGGTTTTTATTATATGATTGTTTTATGCGCTCTTTCCAAAACAGATAGGTTTCAATGGTGGAGTTCCGATCACAGAGGATTTCTTCGTTGAGAATATTGCTGGAAAGCACAATGAAGACATAGCTGAGGTCCTCTTCCCAGATGATATTCCTCGAGGCCGGAAATTTACGGAGGACAAGGAAGCCTTGTTCCGCAAGTAAGTCTTCCATCAAATTATACTTCTTTCCTTTTGACTCTTTACTCTTCCATCACATCATACTTCTTTCCTTATGAACTCTTTACTCTTCTAAATTTTTTGACATCGAGCTCCATGGATGACACAGATTGGTCTTGGAACAACTAACGCCCGTGAGCGGCCTGTACAAATTGAAGAAGTGGATTGAAGATCGTGGTCTAAAACGTGCTGCAGTTACAAATGCTCCCAGGCCAAATGCCGAACTCATAATCTCAATTCTCGGACTCTCAGATTTCTTTCAAGCTGTTGTTGTAGGAAGTGAGTGCGAGCACGCCAAACCACACCCAGAACCTTACCTGAAGGCCCTTGATCTGCTGAAGGCATCGAAGGAGCATACTCTAATTTTTGAGGTCTGGATCTGACCTTTATTTTTCATGAAATCCAATGGGATAGTTCACTGTCCTTAATTGCAGCTTGTGTTTTGGGTCTCCAGGACTCAGTTTCGGGCATAAAAGCAGGGGTGGCAGCTGGAGTGGCCACTATCGGCATAACAACGAGGAACCCGGAACATCAACTGATGGAAGCAAAGCCAATATTCCTCATCAAGAGTTATGACGATCCTAAGCTGTGGGCCGCTTTGGAAGCGCTCGAGAAGATGGATGCTTGAAAAATTCTTTGACGGCCAGGAAGGTAGGAGGACCTGCCCATCAACTGCCCCTAGCCATTTAGATTTGATGGTGCAAAACTGCAAGTTGATAACAATTCCACTTAGGGATCGCATATTGTCGCCAGAATCTGTTCTGATTTTGAGAGATGTTTCGTTTTACTCTCTGCTCACTGATTAGATTACTGAAAGTTAAAGTGGAAAGAGAAACGATACTGTTTTCACTAATTCGATCGGTCCTCTCACTCATGTATTAATAAGAATTTCCTCCGATATGATGTTTCCCTTTCACATTATCACTGTCTCCCAGAAAGTCGGGTTTAATTGTTCTCCCCTTTCTTTCCACTTCTAGCGGTCTCTTATGATAAGGAATGCATGAAACATCGGTGTTAATATAGTATGATGTACGGCGCATTGCAAAGAATTTACACACGTAAGGTGTTGTGAAAAACCTTTTATCTTGTTCCTTTTGCTCCTGAAAATGAGTCGATGCACGAAATTCTCTTATAAGTCTTATATTAAGTGACTTAGAATTATAATTTATGGATATGGGAACTTATAAAAATAATTTTATTTGAGTTGGTCTACCGTGTCACTACCCCCCATTGAATCAATTTTCTGACTCCTTTCCTTGTCGAATACCACCTTAAGCAACCGGCAAAGACGGTGCCTAGGAGCACCGATCTGCATGTCTCCATTAAGTACTCGATTGTGCATATCCATTGACATTACAAAGAAAAAAAGCAGAAGTGCTAATAGCTAGTGTCCCAATTTTCTTCTTTGAGGTTTGATGACGGAGGGAAAGAAACTTAGTAGGCCGGAGCCCGACTAGGAACGCAACATGCCAGGCCTGCCCAATTAGCCCGTGAACCCGATGATAACCAAACTAGTGACCTGCTTCATTCCTACCCGATCCAATTCGGCTGCTTCTTGACCCGTCAATTCGTTTAAAACAGCCTCCTATTTCTAATTACGAGTGATCAGTTCCATAGTAGTTGGTTCCTACCTTGGAATCGGAAATCGGACATAATCAGTTTCCCGTCTGTAGAACTGGGAACTAATCTTGTCCACCCTAGAACCGGATTGGACCAGATCGGCCAATCCCAATCCGGTTCCCGTATTGTCCTGGGAATCGATGGTGTTAGTCCTTTTTCAGCATGAACTGCGCTTGAGAAATTGAAAGCCGTTAGGCTTTCATTTAATGGATGTTTATGAGGCTTGTGCTTTGGTGATGCGGCTGTTGGAATTTCTGATTCTTCCAATGAGAAGCAAGAGGCAAAATATACGATAAGCACGTTGAGGCAAACTTCAATTTGAGAAGTTCGTTAATTCCTATAGCAGCAAATTCGAACCTCTTGCCGAGTCTTCTCGCACAGGAATCGGGTAACACTATGTGATGTAGCTAGCAAGGATCACCTAGAGGGGGGTGAATAGGTGATCTAAAACAAGTTTCAATAATTTATGCGGAAACAAAATAAATCGCAGAAGAGTCTGAATAAAATTCAGATTCAAGACAGATTATATAGACTGTGCTCTTGATGTGCAGAATATAAAGTAAGAGATAAGGGATAGAGAATCTGCACACAAGTTTATAGTGGTTCGGCTTATAGCAAGCCTACGTCCACTCTCCCACGCTTACAGCCTACTGGCTGGATTCCACTAATCAAATCAATGAGAAGTTACAGCAAGTTGTGCCGCTTAAACCCAAGCACTTCTCCCCGGCTGGTCTTCGCTTATACCAAGCCGATAGATCACACTATCTCACACCTAAGCACACACTTATAACACTGTCTACACCTCTCAAATGATTACACGTTTAAGCTCACGAAAGACAAGAGATTGAATCGGAGTATGCTCAGACTTTGGACTTGTTAATTCTTGATTTCGTTCTCTACCTTCTGCTCCTCGTTGATCTCCTTTTATACTCCTCCACTTCCAAACTAGCCGTTGGACAGTCTTCAGAGGATCATCTTCCAATATTCACCTTTGGACAGATTTGTATAAAATGGATTGAGTAGCCGTTGGTTGATAAAATATCTGAATCCCGCTGATTCTGGTCGCCCATACAATCAGAATCTTGGTTTCCATAAGTAGAGCTTTATCCGTTGTAATGTATACTTGTCATAATGTTTGATTGTCAATCAATTATAGCCTTAGATTGAGACAATCAAAACTTTCCTTCTGTGAAATCCATACCAGATCACTAGCTGTTATGTTTCGTTCTGAATTCTGCGTCTGAATAATTTTAGCGTCTGCGTCTGAATAATTTCAGCGTCTGCGTCTGAATAATTTCAGCGCCTGCATCTTAAGAATTTCTGCGTCTGAAGAAATTCTGCGTCTGAACTTTCTCGTTCTGAGTCTGAACTTCTCGTTCTGAGTCTGAACTTCTCGTTCTGAGTCTGAATCTCTTTTGCTTGAAGTTCTTTCACAATCTGAACACGAACTAGATCAAGATTGACATATGCTTTTCTTCCAAAAACAACTTCCTGAATCAAAATACTTCAAAGCATTTATCAGACTTACAAAACACTCATGAACAGTTTTGTCAACTTCAAAAACTATTGGGAATTTTCCTTAACAATCTCCCCCTTTTTTATGGTGACAAAACTTCCATGCAGATATATAGATTTTGAGATAATTTTGAAAAAAATGATCAAGCATATAATGTAGCAGATATTCAAGATATCATATATGATCAGAGTAATTTGATATGAGATTTTTTTATACTCAGTTTTTGAATAAGACAAGGAGTATGACAAAATATGAACCGTAAAAAAAAAATCTAAATCACAGTCTGTCTCCTTTTCTTTGAATCCAATAATCTGCATATCAAACCAAATCATATCTGCATATTTCTCCCCCTTTTTGTCAGCATCACAAAAAGATATATGCATAAAATTCCTTAATGATTATGACAATATATGGAAGTATAATCACAACTCAATATTATGCATCAATTAAGTAGAATTAACCACTAAGCACATATACATATTTACATTCTCTCCCCCTTTTTGTCATAAACAAAAAGTGATAGTAATGGAAAGGGTATCACGTAGAGAATATAAATTTAACTCATCTTCACATACTATCTTCAAAATATATTTGGCATGAAACACAACCTTCAAAAATATCATCTTTCGCGAACATAACATATATTAAATATAGCTCATGTTCTGAAGAATCAAATATCATATATATCAATGAACACGTATGCACATAATAAATTTCACAATCTTTTTGTCATGAAAAAACGATAATATAAATAAGAGATTCGTTAATGACAAAAAGTAAGAGATACTAACCTGGATTGTGTAGAACTTAGCAAGTTCTAACATACATTACCTTTTCTTTCATAGTAATCAAGAGCGGGCAGAAATTAAATTGACTTTCATACTTGATTTACGCTCCCCCTCAATTTGATACCATTTTGAGATGATTCTCCCCCTTTCTTTTGCATTTTTCCACTTTTTGTTTTTCTCCCCCTGTTATCAAGACAGCTTTTGCAAATAACTTTCATTGCAGCTTGTGCACTTTGAACAAATTGTTGTTCCTCTATTTTCTTTGTAGCAGCAACATCCGCCACATTTGTTTGCATTTTGAAATTCGAGAAAGAAATTTGTTTTCTTCCATCAAGCTCGTCTCGGATTCAAACTGCATAAACTCAACAAACTGAAGCAACTTATCCTTTCGTAGGACGCAATAAGCGTTTGCTCATCGTGTTTTGACATGCCTCCAATAATTTGTCAGAATTTTGCATAAAGGAGAAATTTTCGATCCTTCAGAAATGTTGCAGAATCTCCCCGATTGTGGGATCAAGCTTTCCAAACTTCACAAGGAAAGATTCTTTTACATCCTGCAAATACTTGTAAGAGAGATAATAATCTTTGCAAAATATAGAGAATGTCACGTACATACCTTCCTCCGATTTGCAGATCAAACATGCCAATTATAATAGTGCTTCCAAGAATATAGCAAGTGTATCCAAAATATGCAATAATATCTTTCAAGATTGTATGAATTTTCCTTAAGCATGAATCTTAGATGCATAAAGATAATATGACATTAACGAATTTCGCAAAAGGAATGTAGATGTTTTGATGTATTAAATTTATGCAATATCTGACACACATGGCAATAGAAATTACTGATTCATATCCCAATATGCATGTGCAGAATATACCTTAACTTTTTAGAAAAGAATTCATCACTTGAGATCCTTCGTTGATTGCATCATGACTTGCGTAGGCTTGCATTCATGCTTCCTTTGTATAATTGTCTGCAATAAACTCATTTCCTTTCTAGTATCCTTGTATTTGGATCCTTTCTTTTTGTTAGACGCAAAATAGGAAACTTTCATAGAAGCCCAAGGATACTTTCCCAACTCATCTCAGTAGAGTATTTAAGGGAAATATGCATAATAAAACAATATCTCGCAAAAATAAATTCTTTCTTTGTAAGGCATGACAATATCGGAGAACACATAATGAGTCCATAAAAAAAAAAATTTCATTTCCAATAAGATATCAAACAATCTCTTTTATAAAATTTCATCTAAAAAATCCATCAAAATAAACTTGACTTTTATTAGGACATTTCTAACACAACCAACGATGTAAAACACGCCATTTCAAGTCAAAATAAAGCAGAGCATGAAGATAAAATGTTAAGTCCAAAGAGAATTCATAGATATTTAAAGTACGTATCCAAAGCAAATTTAGAATTTGAAAAATATTCCTTTACTTACCAAATTCTCTTTCCTTATTCCCAAAATGATTTCTATAACTGCTGGATTGAAGGCCTGCGCTTTAATCTCTCCTTGACCTTCGGAAAGTCATTCTTGATCTTACTTTCATTTTCGAAACCGAGGCCGGATTTGTTGTAATAGGGGACTTGAATGGATAGAACATGCTCTAATGTCTTTGAGCCAAGAGAAAAATTTTTGCAAATCTTCGGAATTTCTTCCTTATAGGAATCAACTTCTTTTTGCAAAATATCCTTTTCTTCCTTGACAGAGGAATTCTCCTTTTCAAGCTCAATGATCCTTTTCTCATTCGTAATATTTTGTTGCTTCAATTTAGAGACTTCCTTTTTCAACTTGGAGATCTTCTTCAACGCATTCTCATGTTCCGTGCTTAACTCTTCAAAAAGATCATCATCATCGAGAATAGGATCTGAACAAATCACCTCATCTTCTTCGGATTCAATGTCCGCCATTAAGCATAGATTTCCCTGCTCAAGGATTTCATCATCGCTGGATTCAGACTCTTCATTGTCGTCTCTGTTCTTAAGATATTTT